GAGAAGAAGCTGCTTGCAAAGGTTAAAGATCTTCTTTTCGAAGGCTCTCCGGTGAGAACCAAAAACATTATTCCAGAGAGAATGAGGACTGCTAATCCACAGCTGACACACCGTCAATATTGATGAGAACAATATTTGCTGAAGGGCGTAGAAAATACCTTTCATATTCACATGCAAACAGCAATGCAGGAGAGTAAATAGCATGGTCAGAGTAGCATGGCTGGTTTTCTTCCTTTCTGGTACCTGTTGATGTGCTCTGGTTGTCTATCTCCATTACATTCCTGGCATTAAGTCTTGCAGGAACTTGTTGCAGTTCCCAAGGGCTTTATTTCCACTACAGTGAGTGCACTGCAGCAAGACACTGAAAAAAAACTAAAAAAATCATCAGCTGAGGCAATGCAGAGATAGTGGGGATTCATAAGGACTGCTAGTCTAGTGAGGTTAAACTCTCCAGGCTCCTCTTCACAGTTAATAAAGAAAGAAAGGCCCTCCCAGACGATAAGTCTGAGCAGCCAAATTAAGCTCTTGCTCTGAGGTGCAGGATCTTGATCATTAACTGTAATAGGGCCCAGGTACATTAACTCCAGTGAACAGGGGCCTCACAGCCTTCAGTTTGCTCAGTTCCTTCTCCAAGTTCTGATCTGGATACAATTCAGAGTATGCAAAGTTGGGAGTCTGGGCCCTACATTATCTGTGGCCCTCAGGCCATTTCAGACAGCGACTTAGGACACCTGCATTGGGTGTATTTTCATGTCTATTGAAAGCCAAGCCCAGTGTTTCTATTTTCCTGGTTTTTTTTAATTTAATTTTTAATTGCTTTCCACCTTGGATGAGTGCTGGGCTGAATTGCCCACATAAGCATCCAGGTGCCAGCCCTGGAATATGGGATGCTGATACTGATGGCTCAGTAGCAGCCTGTGTTTAGAGCATCCTAAAGCAGTTACAAAAGTGCAGCCTCAGGTACTGGAAGTCAGATGGTATCAATATCCTCCTGCTTTTTTACTGCCATGATCATCTTGATCCCTGTATCCTCAAACCAGTCGCCACCAGTCACCCTGCTGTATCTCACTTCTTGCCAGTACTCAAGAAAAGGAGTTTCAGAGAAAGAAAGCCAATATCAAAATTTCATTATTTCTAGAGGATAAATTCTATAACAAAGGCTTAGGGTAGGATACAAAACCTACACGGGGAGAGGATGTCTCCACTGCAGAGCCTGTGCACTAGGAAAGCCAGATAAAGGATGGGAGAAGAACACCTTATCCTTTGTTCAACAAAAAGCAAATTAATGGCTTACCTGCCTCTCCACATCAGCTTTTACAAAAAAACCAACCAACCAAAACCATACAAAAAGCCCCTCTCATACCAGAATTTTTTGTTAGAAGTGTTTGTATGTTTATCCCACTACAAATCAGCAAGATCACAGCTAAGCTATCACAGCCAACCAACCCAAATCAGAGCTCAGCTACTCACAGTCAGCTCAAAGCAGGAAATAAAGAAAATTTTCAAAGAATCAGTCATCTAATTAATTCCACGTTGCTATATTATGTAAATAGATATCAGAAAAGAAGGCCTTAAACGTGTTAACATTCACTCAAGCAAATATTGACATCGAATCCAATAGGATTACTCCCCTGAGAAATGTTAAGTGTATACCTAAGTCTCTGTGCAATTTGGGCTTAGGTTTGTTGAATAAATAGCTTTCTGAGAATTATTCATTTTGTTATATATTTCACCATCTGTAGGAATACTGATACAGTAATTTGAATATTACTGAAATACTGCTTTTATAAAATATTCAGCTGGTCCCCTAATGCAGGTGAGGGATAAGACAGATACTCATAAAACAAACTCAGGAAATATGACAAACTTAGTCACATTATAACAAACATAATTCATTCCCTTAGAGTAATCAAGTTTATTAAACACAAAGCCTGGTTAATATTTTATATTTGCAAACATCTTTTCCCACTAATGGCCTAAAGCATTTTGCAAGCTACAACATGCAGACAACATTTTAAGTGCAATCTCTCCTCCTGTGCACCCCAGTTGCCAAGCTCTCAGCTGAGAGCTGCCCTCCCACACGTCAACAACAGCCATGTCAGCCCTTTCGTGAGGCAAAAATAAATCCATTAACTTTCATCTAAATACTGTTGATACCCAAAAATTAGAGCCTGGTCAAAAAACCAGACAACTGTTCCTGCTGAAATGGGTAGAAACCAGGAGTGAATGTTCTGGCATCTGCCTTGGGGCGCACACACACACACACACACACACACACACACACACACACACGTGCAAAGGGGTGGCTTAGGCACCACCACATGAGAGAGGATTTGGGGAAGAGGCAGAGACACACATCCAGCATTTCCATTTGCTGGACTGGGGCACCTTCCACCAGACCAGGTTGCTCAGAGCCCCGTTCAACCTGGCCTTGAACACCTCCAGGGGTGGGGAAGTCACATCTTCTCTGGGCAACCTGTTCTGGTGCCTCATCACCCTCACAGGGAACAATTTCCTCTCCATAGCCCATCTCGCCCTGCTTGCTGTCACTTTAAACCCATTCCCCCTTATCCTGTCACTCCATCCCTTGTCCCAAGTCCCTCTCCAGCTCTACTGGAGCCCCTCTAGGCACTGGAAGGGGCTCTCAGGTCTCCCCAGAGCCTTCTCTTCTCCAGGCTGAACACCCCCAGCTCCCAGCCTGTCTCCACGTCAGAGGGGCTCCATTCCTTTGAGCATCTTCACTTTGGAAACAAAGCACCGCTAGAGGACAGTGGAAGCTAAAAAATGCCTGGCAGCCCCCTCGGTGCTTGGAAATAGGCTGGAGATCCGGCGAGATTCGCTCCAGGAAATTCGGTCGGTAAATACCTGCCCACGCACGTTTCAAAGGATCGTGACTCCCGTGTGCAGCAGGTGGGACCCAACCGGAGAGGATTCACGGGGGTGGGGAGCGGTAAGTGTTGCCGAGGTGAGGGGATGCTAAACGGGCTGAGATTAATCGAAACCCATCGCCGAGGATCTTCCCCCCCCTCCCCAGCCGACCAGCAGGCAGCAGTGGCAACCACTGCAGTCAGTGTTTGGATTCTGATGGGGGTACCGTGCCCAGATGTAATTGTTCTGACTCAGAAAAAAAAAAAAAAAAATTAATCAGCTCTCAAAAGAGGTGACAGCTGTTTCTCTGATTCCATTTACATCTAATTTGTAGTGTTTACCTAAGATCTTAGGTGCATTTCCAAACACAGCTAAGAATACCCTTGTATTTCAGTGACTGGTAAGCGAAAGTAGGTTTAATTTTATGTGACTAACTCTACTGTTTCTTGCTAAACAGTAGGGATACAGATGGAGGTAAAAAAAGAAAAAAAAGGAAAATAGAAAATCTCTGTTCTGGATTGCAGAACATATTGCATAAACTCACACTGGCCATAGCTGTTTGCACAAAACCTTGCAAAGGCTCTGTAAAGAATAGGATTCAAAAGGAACCATAGAAGATGTTGCCACAGATCTAAAGACAGGCATGTCAGTTAACTGCGGTTCTGAAGAAAGTACTAACCTAGAAAACATTTAAGACATTTAACTAGCCAGCCTGCCAGTGTGGATATCCCTCAGTTCACCATATATGCATTTTTAAGTGACATTCCTTGACTGGCAATATGAAGCACCCCTTCTCCTTCAAGGTAGTCCCAACTTGAGACATCTCATGGTTTTAGCCCAAGTTTTGTGCCACCTCTACTATAATTTCTAATTCTGCTCATGTTTCTCCCTGTATTTAGGAGTAGCTTACTGCTTGCAAGAGAAAATATGTGTAAAAATACATCACAGCTGCCACAGCACCTTTTACATTTGAGTGTCCTGGATCACTTTACAACCACAAGAAGAGTCCCAGCATCACTATGAAATGGCTGCATTTAGATTTACAGCTGTAGTCACCTGCTATCCAGGGTGGGAATGATCTTTACAGCACAGAAGCATTGTGTGAGTGGCCCATGACTCTGTAAGGAGTCATGAGTGGACCGTAGAGTCCTGCCTTTTGATGCTCTCCTCATTCCCTGGTGGACATTAAATGCCACAATATACATGTGGATGGTTCTTAAGAACATTTCTACACTCTTTTACTGGCAATTTATGGATCATCCTTCCTGCTCTCCCCCTGTTGCTCTCAGACATGGAACAAAATTTAAAAAACCCCTATCGAGCTATTTTGCATTTCAATTAAGTACAATGGACCAGATTCCCAGGGGCTAGACTGGGATGTGCTGGCATAGACCCTTATGAACATAGCAGGTCAGAGCCCAGTCTGCCACTGAGAAGAGCACAGTGCCTGCTCTGCACCATACCCTGCTGGGCACAGAGGCCAGTCCTTAGCCTGGCAATGCTGTTTTGCCCTAGGAGGTGTGGCCAAAAACTGGCAGCTTGTTACACGGACTCCCAGCCTTGTGTGGAATCAGAGCAAAGATCCAAAGGGACAGAATACTACGCCAATTCCTGTGGTTTTGGCTGAGCAGCTCAGTCCTGGCATCCACACCCCCAGCAGCTGGATGTTTCCTGGCAGGTTGGCAGCCCAGGGGGACGATTTGCAGCATTCTCTAATTACAATGCTGCTGTCGATGAGTTAATGCCCTCGGGGGAGCTGGGGAGAGCCTGTGCCCGGGCTCCCACTCTGTGTGGAGCTGAAGCACTAAAAGATGTACAGAGAAATACAGCCTCTCTTGATGGCTGCAGTTTAAAACATGGACTCGATTAAAATTCACATCCTGCAGCTCTCAGCTTTATTAATGGTGAAGATAGGAATAAATGTAGGAAAACAAAGTAAACCCAAGTGAAAACTGGAGGCCAAATGGACTTTTTTAAAAAATTGCCAACAGAGCAGGTGGACAGAGTCACGACCTCTTGACAGAAGTACCTGCCAGGTGCACGATGTACCAAAGTAGTGGGGCTGGTTTTCACACTGAATATGGCATGTGAGGGATGAGTCAAGAGACACAACCCAGCCCTCTGCAGTCAGAGTCACCAGTTCAGCTCCTTTCTGTGACCTGTTCTCTGCAATAGCACAGAAAGAACCAGGTACCTGTTTAGTTCTGCTGTAGCATCACCTAGGAAATACCCTTGGAAAAGGCATCACGAGGAATAGGAGCTGTGTTTCTCTGCAGAAAAGATTGGATTTTGAGGATTCTTTGAGGACCTCTACTCAGTTCAGGGTCATAAAAATGTCAGTCCTTTATGCTGGTAAAACCCCTTTCTACTTAAAGCAATGGAAGAAGCAGAGTACACAGTGTTCAATGTGTTGGTTTGAGAAATCTAAACTTAAGGGAAGCATCTGAAATTTTGGCACTCTGTGGGCCTGAAACATGTTCAAGGGATTATTTCAAGTGCCTTCCCAAATTAAGGATTCTCTCTCTCTCTCTCTGCTAAGGCCTCAGTTCACTCCTGCAGCAGGGGTTATCTCTGAAATGCTCAACAGCAGTGTCTTCATGACTAAAGGAGCATAAGGCTCAGGGAAAAAAAAGAACAATGGAAGGAGAAAGAAATGCAATCTAAATTCATTTTAACTCCAGTATACTATTATTAGTTAAAACTCCCAAGGTAACCTCTATTTCCACAGATATGTAGGTTTTCCATTTCAGTAGGACTAGCAAGGACTAGCAAGAAGCTCCAAGTGATGACCAGGAAGCCCAGCTGTGTGCATCACATTGTAGCAGACCCTTAATACTTCCATTTCTGTGACCTTTCTCCATGCCTATAGATGGGTATGATCCACCAGAGAGAACTGATTAATGATCCTACCTGATCCCCATTTTTTTTCCTTGCAAAATTATTCCTCAGCAAATCCAGGTGGTGCAAAGGAGCCCGATGAGAAGAATGACCTGGTTCTGAGTGTGGATGTCAGAGGACGTATCCTGCATGTCTGGGAAACTGCAAATGAAGCAGATGTTTGTCATTATTGCCCACTATTTAAGTACCAGCATTTCTTCTGCACTAACCACTCTCTGCAAGCAGCAATCATGCATCACCCTCTCCTCTTCTAATGGCTACTCAGGCGTGTAATAAGTTGAATTTCATCTTGCTAATGAATCTTATTTTAGTTGTTGGGCATGACAGGGCATTTCTCTGTTAAAAAGTGAGTGGAGACATCTGGCTTTGGCGGGGTGACTAAAATCAGCTGTGTTTAACCAGTGTCTCTCCTGTTTCACCTTCAATTGCTGACACCAGACCCTGCCACGCTTGCAGACTCAGACAGGAAAGCAGACTGCAGAAGTCACCCTCTACACCTGCCCTATTTTGCCTAAGACAACTTTATATCCCGTGGTGTAAAATGCTTCAGGTATTCCTTATGTCACCTGAACAGTGTCAATGCTGTATCACCCACTAAACCTGTGAGTACATGGGAGATATTCCCATTATTCTGCAGGCTCCACAGCAGACAGCATTCCTGCCAGCCAAGCAAGCACCGAGTTCAGCTCTTTCCTGACCACTTGGCCTGACTCTGCACTCATGCAGAGAGGTATGAGACTGCTCTGACTCAGCACCTGACACAGTTTGCAGGGTGGGTGCCTGTTACTGCACCAGCTAAAGGACTGGGAATCAGCCCTGTAATGCAGGGTCACTGGTGAGAGACTGCTGCTGTTTCATCCCCCCTGTAATGGCTTTCTTCCTTCATGATGAGTTATTGCACTCCTATTTTTGGCTGGGCTTCCTTTGGAAAGCTGGCACAGAAATATTGTTTGGCAGACACAGGCCTGCCCCAGAAATCTACTGGTTTTGGGGTTGTTTGCTTTTAACTAATTCATTATGCTGCTGTACTGCAACGTATATCACCTGTTTTCCCCTCCAGCACAGAGTGTTTATTAGACAACTACTCTCAGGAAGCTTCCCCAAGACAAACACTCAATCCTCAGTCTCCTTGGAAAGCCTGGCAGTCCTTATTGCCAAGGACTAGAAAGCAAAAGCAGCTCAAGTACAGTAATGCACACAATTATTAACAATAATATTTTGCTTATTAGTGAAAACTTGTGCTAACATCAGTGCTTCTATGTGGATTCATCCCTGAAGTAACAGGAGCTCATTACAGGGAGATTTTTCAGATCAAGCCTGGATTTTGCTGGCTTCTCTCTCTCTTGCTTCTCTAATGTGATTGTTCTCCATGACCCTGATATATGACAGTCATTTTAATGCTGGTAACTACTCTTTCGACTGCAGAAGGCAATGAATGCCAAAGATATTTAAAGACATCACCAGTCAGCCCTGACTCTGCAGCCATGAAGCAGTTCATGTTCCTTAAGAGCCAATTCCACCGATTTTGTGTTGGTGTACACTGGTTCAGCAGAGAGACCTGGTGGAGTCCCCTTGGCATTGCTCATTCCCATAACGGGTTACTGCAGATACTATTTACTGAGCTCAAAACAACCCTGAAGTGCCTGTCAGTTCAGCTGCAAACTGGGGGAAAAACACTCTTCACAAATACTGGAGAAGCATTAGAATTTCATCTCTGCTAGCTGTTCTACAGACTGCTGTAAGTATGTTATTATGTTCCCAAGCTTAGTCTGACTGAAAGGAGCCTGCTGCAGCAAGGGGATGGTGACATGAAGATGTGGTAATACTAAAGATCACACAGGTCAAAGCCCACCCCCCAGCAGAGCACCCACTAAACTTAGAGAGGAGTTCCTGTGCTGAAAGAGATGCAATGGAAAGCAGCATTTGCACCCTCTCCTGTCTCAAGTGCAGGGTCTGGTGGTGCAGGGTGAGCTCCATCCTCCTGCACTTCCAGGGGAAGCTGCTCTTGAGGACCCTGGAGGATCACCACTGTGGTGGGAGCCAAACACTGGAGTTCTGAGCCTGCCAAACTCCAAATTTCCAGGCCTCCTATATAATCATAAAATTAAAATTGTTCCATGAAGACAACCTGTGTGTGCAGTGGGGTCACACCACCCCTGCTGCAAAACAGCTGTGCCTCCCTGTGGGCACAGCCACGGTCAGGAAACTGCACAACAGGACATCACAGAGATCACTGGTCCATCAGCTTTCTGCCTATCCCAATAAATAATTCACTGAAGAGCATTCTAGACCAGAAGTTATACTCTTAATGAAACAGAAAACCCCACTCTTTTTTGCCTGTGTAGCCCCTCTGTGGAGTGGCCCCGGTTCTGCCCAGATTTTGTGGTTTCTGCTGCAGCTCAGCCCAGTGGTGGCAGAAAATTAACTTTGGGAATTAAGGAGCTGATGCACCACTCCAGCCTCTGATGCTGCATCACAGCCCAAGCCCAGGCAGAGTGCTCAGTGCTGACTTTGTTGTCATCTTGCATTTCAAATTCTGCTCCGGGTCACCCAGAGGAGCCCAGATCAGCACAGAAAGATGAAGAACAGAAATGCTGTTAAATAATTTCCCCAAATCTCATGATTTGCCCTCAGTTTTAAAAACATGCTTTGTAACACTGGCCAATAAAGAGCTGCACAAGAAAACAGAGCTTTAATCTTTGTAGTGGATCCTGGATTTGTGGGAGTTTTGAGTAAATCTGTTTAGATGGTTAAGAAAAGCCTACAGCCAACCATCTGGGCTCGTGCTGCTTCTCACTGTTTGTTGACATCAGCAGTCCTTAAAATGTTCCCAGCAAAGCATAATTTTTTTTATTTTTCACACCTGGGTAATTAAAACAGGTATGCACCGAACACTGGGACCCATTTTTAAAAGATATCATTTTCTCAACCCATAAATGTAATTTGCTATCAAATTAAGTATTTCCACACCCCATTTCTCCAGCACTTGAGCATCTTAATTTGAAATACAGTTGATAGACATTACTATTTTCAAGCAGCAGCCAGGTTTGGATGCAATTCTGAACTAAGTACTTGCCTTTTCCTTATGCACCTCAGTGCTTTATTGCCTTGGTATGCAGCAGAGACAGTGAGAAATGGAAGAAAAAGCAATAAGAAGGGGAAAGGTGCCTCATAAAATGGAGAGGGGAGGGCAGGAAGATATGATTTGTTTTACAAGAGAGTCACCACTCTAAGCCTTTCTCGGTAGAAATGTCTGTTGTCTGAAACTTGATTTTCAGTGCAGCATTTTGAAAAGAAGCTTGGAAATAAGACATGGTCCTTACAGCAAAACCATCACCTTAAAAAACTATCCCAACTTAGAATTCTGCACAACTTGGATACCTTGACTTCATTCACAGGTTCCAGCTGAGGACCAAACACTCAATACAGCAGTATCACACAAGAAATCATTTTCCCACCAAATTCCAAGCAATATACTTATCTAGCATATCTTAATCAGATAAATTCTCCTGGAGACCAAAGTTAACGATTTAGGTGAAAAGGGCTACCAAGACTGAGTTTTAAGAGCTGATTTTCCTTTTTTGAGTGCAGGATAAAGAAGCACTTGTTGTTATAGTGGCTTCTCTCCAGTGATCAAATCACAACATGCAGCTGAAATTCGAAAATTTTCTTTCTCTGCTTTAGCAGATTGCAGTCCAACTAGACCTGTAGCTTAATGCATTTTTTTTTTCAAAGCACTAACTTCATTATATTTATTTATAGTTGTGGTGGAACGGTAACAAGTCACTCTATAATTCATGGATCACTCATGTAATAGGGACCATTAGCTGTCACATCAGTGCAGATGAAGCGAGCTTTGACCTGTGAATTACTGTCACAATAAACTCAATTCCTGCAGATACCAATGTTATTCTTGTGGTTATAGTGTATGTTAATTTGAAATAAGTACTTTAGTGAGGAACCTGAGAAATTAAAAAGAGTCTATCTGCTACCAATCTTTGGTCTTAGAGAGCTGTACCTCTAATAAACCTATTTGAATATGCAGAAAGTAATGAGCTGCCCAACAAGGAGAACTGGGGAGTAACAGCAAAGGGAAGGACAAATCCTTGCTTGGCAGATGATTTACTGTCAAATATATATTCATGACAAAGGAGCATGAATGCAAACTACATTTTTGTCACTAGTAAAGAAACCTGGAAAACAAAAAAGGACAAAGAAAATGTAAAGAATAATTGAAGATAATGATGGTAATTTGTTTCCCTATTCTGAGATAATTGATCCACACTGAAGACATAATTACAGTACATTAAAGAGATTAAACATAAGGTCTGAGGCACAGAGTGAAGACAAGCATGAGCTGAGATACCGCAATTATGACATTTTGGGAGTCATAATATTTTGATGTTGGCCTTTCAAAATTCAGGGACAACGGCAACACAGTGAGCATCATTTCAGTCGTCAAATGCCTGCTATTGCTCTCCCTTTTCCTGTTTCTCCAGGCTGCAGTCTCTGACAGAGTGCCTGCTGCCAGCGAGCAGCCAGTTAAATGATGTGACAGTCCATTTGGTTAGGGACGGCACTTCTGTGCTCAGGGTGTCTTCTTTTGATCACTAATCACACTTCAGAAAAGGCAATTCATTTACTCGAGAGGCTTCTAAACCTTCAAGTCTCTGCCTGTTTGTTTCCAGACCTCTTTGTTCCCTCCAGATGATCCCTTTCCTTACCCCTTATTGATGCACTACCCGTGGTGATGTGCAGTTTTGGGCTGTCAGTGTTCCACCTGTCACGTAGGGCAGGATGTGACACACAGGGCTGGGCTGTGGCAGCAGCCAGCAGACTTCAGCCTTCATTATCCTCTTTTGTTAGCAGCCCTGGAAGAGCTCCTGGAACAGGGAAGCCCCCCATCCTGCCTAGAATGGCTCTGGGTATTCATTGTTCATGCACTGCAGATAGTGCAATGACAAGAGCTTTAACTATTTAGAATACACCTTCCCCTGCTGTCAGTCAAGCAGCTCCTTAGGAAGGATGAAAGGAATGACTCAAATATAGAAACTGAAATCTTAGGGAGGGAGGGAGGAAGACTCTAATGAATAAATACCAGCTATTTGCTATTAATTCTATTATTCTGTGTTAGTGCAGTT